ATTATGATAACAACTTCTTACAAGAGCCAAAAAATCAAAAAAAAATTTAAAAGTTAGCTGGGAATACAAGTGCCCACCACAATGCCTGGCTATTTTCAGAGACAGGGTCTCACTCTGGCTCAGGATGGTCTCAAATTTGTGAACTCAGGCAATCCATCCGCCTCAGCATCCCAGAGTGCTAGGATTATAGGCGTGAGCCACTTTTCCTGGCCATTTAGTTAGGTCTTAAGTTTATCTTAGCAATGCTTTCTAATTTTAGGATTTTGGTCTTTTCTTTTTTGGTAGAGACAGAGTCTTACTTTATCACCCTGGGTAGAGTGCCATGGCGTCACACTGCTCATAGCAACCTCTAACTCCTGGGCTTAGGTGATTGTCTTGCCTCAGGCTCCCGAGTAGCTGGGACTACAGGTGCCTGCCACAAGTCCAGGCTATTGTTTCATTGCAGTTTGGCCGGGGCCGGGTTTGAACCCACCACCCTCCGTACGTGGGGCCGGCGTCCTACCCACTGAGCCGAAGGCGCCGCCCAGTTTTGTTTTTTTTTTTAAATTCTTTTTATTTTTTTGGAGACAGAGTCTTATTCAGTCACCCTGGGGTTGAGTTCTGTGGCTTAGCTCACAGCAACCTCAAACTCTTGGGCTTAAGTAATTCTCTTGCCTCAGCCTCCCAAGTAGCTGAGACTACAAGCACCCACCACAAAGCCCAGCTATTTTTTTGTTACTGTTGTCGTTGTTTAGCAGGCCCTGGCTGGGTTTGAACCCACCAGCCCCAGTGCATGTGGCTGGTGCCCTAACCACTGAACTATAGGTGGCCAGCCCAAAGATAGTTATTGTACATTTTAATTTATGTATGATCTTTTAGGCAAATTTATAACATTTTATTTTTATGTATTTATTTATTTTGAGACAAAGTCTCAAGCTGTTGCCCTGGGTAGAGTGCTGTTGCATCACAACTCACAGAAACCTCCAACTCTAGGGCTTAAGCGATTCTCTTGCCTCAGACTCCCATGTAGCTGGAACTACAGGCACCCACCACAACGACTGGCTATTTTTTGTTGCAGTTGTCCTTGTTTTAGCTGGCCCGGGCTGGGTTCGAACCTGCCAATTTTAGTGTATGTGGCTGGCGGTGTAACCACTGTGCTACGGGTGCTTAGCTGACAAATTCATTTGGTCATGTGACCAAGTGACCACTAAAATCAAGATAGTGGGACACTTTTATCATCCTGAAAATTTACTGTGCCCCTCTGTAGGTAAACCCGTACTGATCATTGGCCTCTGGAAACCACCATTTTTCTGTCCCTGAAATTTTACCTTTTCCAGAATGTCCTACAAATAGAATAAATTTGAAGCCAACTTCTTTCATTTAGATAATGTCTTTGAGGTTCATTCAAGTTGTTGCATATACCAACGGTGCATTTTTTTAAAAATTGTTTATAGTATTCTATTGTGTAGGTATACCAGTTTATCCATTCACCAGTTGAAATATATTTCAATTATTCCCAGTTTGGGGTTATTATGAATAAAACTGCTATAAGCATTCATATATAGGCTCTTTTTTTT